CGCAGGGCTGAAAGCGGCCGCGGCGTCCCCACCCCGAGTCGCCAGGGCAGGCGGCGTAGCACGGAAAGGATCATGGTGGAAGGCGGTCGGGAGGAGAGCCGGGCCGAGGCGTCCGCCGGTGCTGCCGGCCAGGGAGGAGATTGGCAGCGTTCTGGGCTGGGACGTCTGGGCGAGGGCGGAGTAGGGGCCCTCGGCGTGCGGACCACAGAAGGCTGAGCCCCGCCTCGCTCGCTCGCTCGCTCGCTGGCTGTTGCCCCACGCCGAGGTGCACCTCTCGTGGGTGGCGGAGCCGGAGGGGCCTCTCTGGTTGGTGGCAGGAATGGACAGGGGCCCGGCTGAACATACAAGGAGATAAGCGGCCCCCTGACCGGGATGATTCTCGGGGGGGGGCAGAACCGTCTTCAGGCAGGCTTTGGGGAGTATTATTCTGCATAACTTTTGATGATGATGATGATGAACGACGCTTAAGCTAAGGGGAATTGTATTTTTTTAGGATCTCCGGCGAGCCTCTTGGTTTTTGCTGCAGCAGGCTAACCTGGCTGCCCCACCAAAACACAACACAACTACAGTACTTTTTAGACGTATTTTTACTTCTGAATGGGTGGATTGGGGGGGGGGGGGCTGGGAGGAATGTGTCGGCCTCCCCTCTGCCTCGTTCACGTCGTTTCCGAGGTGGAGCAAGCCTCCCCAAATTAGCGACCTCCCCAAAGTCGCGTCGTTAAACGCCTTGCACAGGCCGTGCACACGGACACGAATTCGCAGGGAAGGCCTCGTGAGAGCAGCGGGGTTTACTTCAAGGTGAAGGGATTGGAGACAGGGAGGTTAATGCTAAATTATAAACGTGCCATTTAAAGGTAATTGGCAATGGACTCCATCCGCTGTACACAGTACTGATTGACTGCTCGCACTTGAGCAGCAGTGGTACTATTAGAGATTATAAATGAAATTAAACAAACAATACAGTAGTGCTGAATCTGTGTCAAGATGCCTCTGTCAAGGGATTAAGGAGTCATGATTTACCTCAGGGGCATCATGAGAAATTGTGAAAGACAGGTTGTAACTACCACCATTCTTCTGGTTTGGGGTTCTGCTGAAGGAGAAATAGGGGCAGTGCTCCTTATGATCACTTCAGTTTATTTTCATTTGATTTTGCATTGAAAGTATAGTGGGAGGCAGCTCAAAGACTTGCAGAGTCTATTTTATCTTTTGATGGAATCCTGAGGCCCACCAACTGAAGCCACATCGGAATGGGAGCCTTGCCCATGAGCGAAACATTGGAATGATCTGTTTGTACAAATTTGCATCTGGGGCTGCATTTGCAGTCATAACAGATATCTGTGATATGCAGACTAGTTCTACTACAGATTGCTGTGTTGGAGAGATATCCTTCTGTTAACCGATTTTGCATTGAAAGTATAGTGGGAGGCAGCTCAAAGACTTGCAGAGTCTATTTTATCTTTTGATGGAATCCTGAGGCCCACCAACTGAAGCCACATCGGAATGGGAGCCTTGCCCATGAGCGAAACATTGGAATGATCTGTTTGTACAAATTTGCATCTGGGGCTGCATTTGCAGTCATAACAGATATCTGTGATATGCAGACTAGTTCTACTGTGTTGGAGAGATATCCTTCTGTTAACCTGTGGAGAGGACTAAAGGGTGGCCCTGCACATTCTGTCAGTTTAAGCTGGTGGGGAGATGCAGTTCTTTAACAGCTTGGAAGGATGCTGCCTCTACCAGAGCTTCCATCACTCTGTTTCCTTGCCGCTGCTGTTCTAGAAAAGGGAAAAAGAACACTCTCATCCTCTGCTTCTCTTGGGGAAGTTTATATAACCTAATACACTGGATTGGGTCCAAATTACATCTGTAGGCAACACTCCTATAGGATTCTCCTGCTTGAGGGGAGTGGCCAATTAATAGATTCTTTCCCATTCGCCCCAGGAAAGCTGCTCTGGAGAAATGGGAGATCACCAAGAGTAGGATGGGAAATGTACAGGGAGTGAGAAACTTGTGAAAAATTGCCTCCTTTTGCTCCAAATGGAGCTTCTGCTTGATCTTGGAATGGAAGGAGTTCCCTATCTGCAGATGGACAAAATAAGATTTATCCTTCTATCTTGTTTTGAACCAACATCCTAAGTTGTTATGTTTGTTGGAACTTGTGCTAGTGTTTGAACTAACTGATTAATGACTTACAAATGCAATCCACACAAACTGGTAGTAAATCCCCTTGGTATTATACCAACAACAAACATTTCATTATAAAAGGTTTAATTTTTTTCAAATTATTTACTGCAAACAGTATTTATTCCTAAGCAGTATTAAATACATACGTTTGGGTTTGGCATGCTTTAAACTCAGCTTTTAAGCATAACAAAATGAGAAAAGCTTTACTTAAGAAGTCTTCTACACGTGCATACATTTTTACATGTTCCTTACAAAATGTCATGGAAAAAGTGCAACATAGAGATTCTGTCTCTTAACAACTGAATAAAATGCTACCATATGAGATGCAGAAATTAGGAAACATCCTGAATGTGTGACTCCATTTTGAACCCTGTCCAGTAGTGTAGTGCAGTACAACCAACAAATACAGAATAGTAATACATTAAAATCAATCTTTTACAAGTAAAATTACATGGTTAAGGTGAATGTTCTTTCAGATGCTGTCTGTAAAAGTCACAAAGGAGAGGTATAAATCTTCGAAATAAAAGATAATTCCACCTTTTAAAAAAAGCAATAGGGTAACAACAAGCGTAGTATGACTGATATCGTTGGCATTTTCTCTGGTGCCTTCTGCTGGAAACTGATTGCCTGGCCCACTTCTCCCAACTGTAGCAAGAGCCACTCTTTCCCTTGCATTTTCTGTGCTACCCACTGCAAGGAATGAAATACAGTAATGTACTCAGGAACATTCAGGTGGTAAAATGGATCTGTTAGCCTATGATTGTATTTTTTTGGGGGGGGTTCCTTAAAAGCAGTACCAAGCGAGCCCATGTTTTGCTTGTTCTAAGTATCACCTAACACTGATCTGAATTTCATTCAGTTCACATTGCTAATTTTGTTGTTTAATAAAACAATTCTTCCTTTTAGAGGTCTTTATATTAGATAAATTTACTGTCCAGAATAGGGATAAGAATATGCAGATATATGGATAAAGCAACTTCAGTGTCTTGCGTGATATTCCCAACTGTTGATAGGTGCATATGTAAAAGTCAAACTAGAGCAATACTGGCTTTTTTGTTTGTTTTTTGTTGTTTTGGCTGCATTCTTAACGACATGCAGATTTGTGTTCTTCAGTTAAAAGTCAGTAAGTGGTTCTTTTTAAAGGGTTAAGCAAATAGGGATACTTTGATTTGTGTTGCTAAAATCATCTATCAACAATACATACATGAACTAGCTACAACACTTTGTTTGTCTTGAAGTCTAATTTTCCCATCAAGATCTGAAAAACTGTTCTCTTTACAAAACTGTTCCCCCGGGCTTAACCAGTTGTGAATTTCAGCTACTTGCTTCTCTATCTGCAAGATTAAAAATACAGTACCTTAAACACATGGATGTTTGTTCCTTACAAAGGTACATAACAAATTTCATTCCTCTTGGCTTCACTGATTATATCCCATTATTTTATCAGATTAACAAAAATTTCTCTGTCTAGCACACTAAATATCCTTATTGTTAATGTAACCAAATATTTCACAACTGTATTTTATTTAAAAAAAATCATGTTTCGTAATTTAATATTTAAACATTCATCACATTTATCATCAGTTTTTACTAGATACAGCTTGAATTGTGGTCAGCTTCTCTACTGAAATCAGAACCTGTGCATAAGAAAATTGGGAGTTCATAGTAGAACAGAAAGAAAAGCCCTAATATTTAAATTTTATTTTATTTTTTTGCAACAGTGAAAATATTTTTGGTATATAGTTTGGAGTAATTTAACAATCGTGTTCTTCAGTATTCATTTCAGTAGAAAAGAATATACGCTTGTCAGTCGCCACCTATCAAAGTACAGTTACTGCTGATATGATAAAACTTACAAGGGCTGGGCTTTGCATTAAGAATAAAGTGGAAACAGGAACCAGAATGCTACTGGTTAGGTATGCCAGTGCAAGTGTAGTTGTTTAATTTGCACCAGCATGTTGCCACTAGTTAACTTGCTGCTTGTACCCTTTGTCATAGGTTAATCACATCAGTTGGTGCAGAACAGGGAATACAATTTGTTAACTAGCAGCAACGTGCCACTGCAGTGTATGCCACTGCACTTATCACATAACAAACCAATAGCATTCTGGCCAGTACTTAAGACCCCTCCCCCCCATCTGAAAATTAAGTATACACTGGATGTCATCTGCTACTGTTTCAAGTTATCTAGACCAAAACTATGTGATAAAGAGGTACTGGCAGAAATAACCCTATTCATGCATTTGTGGATACTAAAAGCATGAAGGCGTTATTAATAACAGAGCTCTCTCTGTCCCCCTTAGACACCACATGCAATGGCTATGCCCAATGAATGACATATGACTGGTGTCAATTTGAAGAGGTATATGTATGTATGTACATTTATAGGTGTCCTACCATAGGGAGAGATACACTAGTCAATCATATGCTAAATGGGTGTGTGTGACCAATATTTACAGTGATATCTAAGGCACAGGTTAACTTGTCAGATTACAAAATTTTTAAATTTCACTGCTCATTCTTAGAAGTCCCTTTTAAACATTCAGTACCCATGAGTACCAGATATTTCAAAAAGGCTACTGACTACATATATCTGTTTAAGAAACAGGAGATGTAAAATGTATTTTAAAAGTGGAATGTATACTATGTCGAAAGAAATCTAATTTTTTAAACTAACTTTAAAAATTCTAAAAGAAACATCTCCAGATAGTTTTCAGTAAACTATAGATTCAAAATAACAGTGCCTGCAAGATGTTTCCCCCATAGGGCATTCCAGCTATTCTTATGGGCTTGAGTTGGAGAAAAGAAAGTGCTTTAAAAAAGATTTTCCTGGTTCATTCCAAAATTTCCATTTGGTCTGTACCACATCCACATTGTACTTATTATCAAAATTGCTTAGCAAGTGCGTTACACTAACACAATGGAGGCAGTATTAATCCCACTGCTGTCAAATAACAACACAATAAGCTTAAATGCAGTCACAGTAATTCACCTCAGTTTATAAAAATATACGTACGGTTTGTAAGCTAGTAAACCTGAGAGTACTCTATATAACTGCTACATATTATTCACCACATGTTTTGTAGCCTGTGCCATACTTTTTCCTACCCCCGTTTCTACAAATTTCTGGCCTATATAACTTGTTCTCATACGCAGTAATTGCCAGTATTTCAGCAAAGTGAAAAAAATAATGAGCAAAAGAGTATGCAAGGGAAAGTCAGACAGTTACTTGACACTGCCAAACCTTGCCAATTTAAATTTTTTTTCAGCAAATGGTAGTTAAAAAAACATATATACTGGCTGTCATACTACAGACTTTGTCAGCATTAAGGCAAAACATTTGGAAATTTTAGAAAATATCAAGCAAAGCTGCTTGAGCTAAGACACTGAAATTTTTCTCTTAAGGACTGGACAATGTTCTGCTGGTTAGGAGATGGCACTCTCCATAGGTAGTCATTCAGTTTATCTGAATCACTGCATGTGTTCAGGAAAGAGTCCGAGGGCTTAGCAGAAGCCAGGGAGGTATTTTTGCCACCATGAGTTTCTGAAACAGCAGAATGTGCATTTATCTTTGGATGTGAGAGATCTGTTCGGCTATAGAAAGCTTCTAAATCAGATCCTTCATCTTCTGATTTGATTTCAACATAGTCATCATCATCTCCTTCCCCATCATCGGTGTCTTTGAAATTAGAAAAATAGTTCTGGGTAGCAATTTGTGCATTTGAGAGTAAGTTTCTGCTGACATGTAGGATTTTTTGAGAGTCTTGGAGAATCATTTCTGAGAGATTCTCTGGGCTTGGCTTTGTCCCATCCCATGTTGCAAGGCCCAGGGTGGCAGCAGGGACTGATTCTTGGCAGTGGTCAAAGACAAAGTTCCTGCTTGAATGTAGTTGCTCCTTGCCCATTTCAGATGCATAATTTATTGTGTCCCCAGATTTGTTGACCACAATTGAAGAAGATGACTGTGACCTGCTGTACATCTGTGACTTTGCACTGTTTTCTCTTCTCCCTAAAGAGTTGTAAATGTGGCTGTAGTGCAAGTTCTCTTTGTTAGGTTGACTTATAATAGCACTCCATCTTTGTGCGGGAACATGTTGGTGAAGAGGAGTCTGAAGGGAAGGCACTGAGCCAGCTGCTGCCATTTGTCTCCTACCATGTTTTGGAGAACTCATCTCTGAAAGGGAGGTTTTAGACTTCAGGTGAGGGACTTCTGGCCAAGGATTAAAATCAGACAGTTCTCCGTTACTGTAAGTCGAGTGCAATAGCCAGTCTTCTGCTCTTAAGCATTCAGCACCTAACTGGGATGTTGACACTGGTGAGGAATACCTTATAGTGGATGGTTCTTGAGAACTGGCTTTTTGTGTTTTGGGTGAAGTTTCACGGAAAACAATCTGGTCATAGAGCTGGGAATATTCGGCAATTCTGGCACCTGGAAAAAAGAATGGAAAAAGATATAATTAATAGAAAACATTGCTCTGCATATTGTGAAGATGCCACAACACATATAGGCATGGAAAATAAACATTAATATTTTCTCAGAAATAGTCTTGCTGATTTCACATGTGTTATTGTCAAGTAAATAATATATGGGGTTACAGTTTTAGCTATAGGCTGTTTTCTACCAACATATTGTTCAGCTTTTACTTCTTCACACAATTAAAATTGTATAGAAAGAACAGATCCCTGCATTATGGTTCCCTTATTCTCCTTGCATGACTAGCACTTGTAGTTCAGACACCATAGGGAGAACTGGCCTGCCCCCTTTATTCTTTTACTTCTTCAGCGGTCTCTGTGTCTCTGGAATCTTGTGGAAATTAAAGTGTTCTCCATAATGTCCCCAGCCCCTCAGTTGCTGCTATACACCCTCTCCAATTAGTTGAGAGTTACAAAATTCCAGCACTCCTGGCATTTTGACACCATAAGGAGTTGTCTGCTTTGCCTCTATCTGACCACCTTGATGTAAAAATGTCCTTTTCCAGTTTCTGAAATAACATGTCTTCTGCTTGATATCAGAATGACAGGAAATAAAACAAATAAATAACATATGAACAGGAGATATATTTTACTCTTATCACAGACTGTATTTTACTTAAACTAATACACACAAACACTGGCCTGGTGGACTATACTGGAACATATTGGCAGAAGTCAAAGTACAGATAGACATCTGTAAGCATAAGGGAAAAATATCTCTGAGCATACCAATGGCAGGGCCACCTTGTTTCTTCTCTTCCAAAATGGCTGCTAAGTCCTTGTATTTTGATTTCTGTTGCCGGCTCAAAAGTTGCTCTTGCTCTGGGCTCTTTACTTTCAAAAGCTGATTTGCTTTCTTAATTTTTTGGCTATATTGTCTTGCCATCATGAAGACCCGGTTCTTTGTTTTATCAGCAGCATCCAGTTCATTTTCAGTACTTTCAACATTTGCGCTGCATAGAAGACTACTGGCAGATTCATAAAGGCTATCCACAAATGCTATCTCATTGGAGAGGGAAGCTCTGTTGTGTCTTGTCAGTGGATCTGGTTTACATGATGCTGCCTCTTCAAACCTAAGATTGGCTTCACTTAATCTGGCTACTTTGTGGGTCAGCATTTTGGGGGAAAGAGGTGTTTCCAGCAATGAGCTGGCAGGTGCAGAACAATTCACATCTTTATTTAATTCACAACTCATTTCAGTAGATGCTTTATTGTCAATGTCATCTTTGCAGACCGGAAAAGCTGCAAGGACATGATCTCGTGTCTTTTCTTCATTCTTTTTAATATAGTTCTCCAGGTCATTCCAGATTTCATCTACTTCCTCTGATAATTTATCTGCAGCAGATTTGTGAGAGTGTGAATCAGAGTTTGAAGAGCTCTCCACCAGGCTCAAATACTCGTGATCCAACGGAACATAATGATAGGGATTTTCATCTTCACTGAACTGGAAACTTTCTTCAGATACAAATTGCCGGAGGTGGTCACAGCAGGCAAAATCTGTTTCCAGACCCAGAAAACTTTTCTTTTTGGAACACTTAAGATGGCCACACTTGAAATCCAGCAGTGATTGTTCTGGGAGGATAATGGTATCGTAGATGTTCTCCTCACTGATTCTTAGATCATGAGAGCTTACAGGTGGACTGCCTTTCCTTGAAAAAGCTTCACTTTCGTTCAGAGGAAAGGAGGACCTGTTTCGAGGTGCCTGTATTTTCTTGAAAGTAACTTCCTGGTCTTGGGTTTCATAAAGGGAATCCTTAGCCGACCCTTGGGGAGCATGGTCGGGTGGGTCCCTCCGAGCCAGACCCATAAGTTTCAAATCTTCAAAACTTATATTGTCATAGACATGCTCAATGTCATCAATAGTCAGTTCTTCAGAAGATTCTGGATAGACCTGCAGATTATCCATGTCACTCCTAGAATTTTTCATTTCATTCCAAGAAGCATTTTGACCAAGGCAATTTTTCCTGTATCTTGAACAAAATGGCGAAGTTTTGTTTTCACCAGCACTGCTGGCTCGCCTCACAATTCTGTGAGAATTAGAGTTCAAAAGATCACTTTGGTGACCAAGTCCTACATGCCAGCTGCAAGGACGGCCAGAAGGGATCCTCTCTTCACCAACAATTGAAGCTAAATTGGATGTAGACTCTGATGGCACAAACATCTGATAGTCATCTTCATCCTCCACATTCTCCTGTAGGGGCCGCCTGCTTGGGAACAAGGCTTGCCGAATCTGGTGGTCTGTCCAGATGTTTCTCACTGCAGCTGTTCTCTCCAAAATATTTGCCATGAATGAGTTGGTCTGCGGTGTGAATGGTAGAGAAGACTGACCACCTCCACTGCTGGGAAATGATTGCTTGGTGTTCACCTGGGAAGATGCTTCATCTACAGGCTCTTCTGAATTCTGCAAAGTTTTAAAATAAAGCATATTAATTAGTCTGCTGATTACATAATAATCAGAACTGCTAACAGCAAAGTTAATTCTCTGTGTGTCAGGCTTTATGTAGCCAAAACAGTATTATCTATGGAGTTATTCTTGAGCTTACAACTATCTCGTGGTCTGCAAAAGTACCAAATATGCATATATACATGTTTGTGTGCATGTCTATAGATAGCTATGGATGTTAGTGGTATGCAGAAAATTTCTCCCATTAAAAATTTCAGCCAATCTTATTTAGCTTGATAGAAAACAAGTTACTGTACCTTAGAAAGAAATTCAACAGGAAGGGAAAGTCTCATGGGAGAGATTCAGGATTCTTGCATTTATCTTATTTTGGGGATATCAGAAGAGTATGTGTCACTGCACTATTTTTTTAACAATCATCTCTGTGGCAGCTAGCATACTCACCAGCTTCTCCTGATTCAATTAAGTCCTAGAGCACTAGAGGGAGATGTTATATGGTAACAATCAAAAAGTGTGGACAGCCAGGGACACTGCAGAGTGAGGACGTGATGTATGATATAAAGAGAACAACAAACACTCTTTGCCACCTTGCAGTGCTGCATTAAGTTCAAAAATATAATCACAAGAAATTTTAAAGGTCACTGACAAGGAGTCAGTAACATGGAATCTTTCATGAGGAAATAAATGTCCATGAACTTGGAGGATAAATTATGGTTCAGTATTAGTTTCACATTTTTTCCTAGAGCTAGATGTAATACTATACTCCCTCATACCTACTAGCGGGTTTATATAAGGGAGCAGTTGTATTATTAGCCTCTGCAGTAGATGCAAACTGTATAGTTTAGAAAGTGTTCTCCATGGTTTTTTGATGGGTGCCTCCGCAGCACCACTGCAATGGTGACCAGGCTGCCAATATAGTTGCTCTTGTTGTCACTTGCAAAGGCAGAGGAAAAACAAGAATCCTTTGGGGGGGAAAGAATATGACTTTGCTATGACCACAACCCATGTGCCATGGCTGTGTTCATCTGTGTCTCTCTCGGGGGGGGGGGCATATATCTAATGTATATATAGATGTGTGTGTCTGTAGGGGTGTGTGTGTTTCTGAATATATATATTTCAGATCATAATTATATATACTGACACTGATCTCATTTCTCTGATGGCTGGCCTCTTCTTAGCCAAAACTGCTGTTCATAAAACGTACATATCAGCAAACCTGGAGTTACCCCAAGATTTGGAAAACAGCAAAATATTTTTATGGGGGCACCCTGAAAAAGAGGGTATGGATGAACTGCTCTTGCACTAAAACCACGATGTTTTACTACAGGTTCTCTTAACTACTATATGCCTTGGCATACAGATTGGGAAGAGTAATCAGTACAGATGTGTGATAACCAAACCATGAACCAGAAAAACAGATGAACTGGGCTGGTTCATGGTTCATTTTGGGGATCCTGCTTTGCCAAAGCACAACAGATGCCCGCCCTCCCCCTTGCCTCTCTATTTAGTCCTGCTGCTGCCGTCTCCACCTCTGCCATTCTCAGAGACAGCAGGCTTAGCTTCCCTTCTAGGAGATGGGCCTGCTGCTTCCGCATGTGTGCTCATCGCCCAGCCAATCAGCTAGGGGTCAGGCACAGAGCAGCAACCAGCCTTCCTGCAAGGAGCCTGCTGCTACCTCTGAGCATATGCCTGACCCCCCCAAGCTTCCCTACAAGGAGCCCAGTCACTGCCTTTGTGCATGGCACCCGGGGAGGGGGAGGAAGTGGTGACCACATGGTGCAATGATGGTGGCATGACGAGCAGGTAGCCCACACACACACACACCAAAAATCAACCTGGTTCAGTTTTCCATTTGGTTCATGGCTAACCACCATTTTTCAGGTTTATGCCCATCTCTGGTAATTAGCTTACAAAATAGTTAACCAAGTATGAATGGGAACTGCAGCCAATATTTCATTCATCAATTTGAATATGTTCTTTCCTGCCCAATATTATTGTGCTAATGCTCAAGTCACTGGGTGGTGCCCATTTCCAGAATACCAATTTCGACAGTGAGGCTGTGTTATCTGGAATAGAGGCATCTTTCAGAAAACTCCAGAAATGTATGTGTACACCTGCACCAATCCTCACAGAAAGTACACTAACTGGTGGTCATCCTGCTTTGTGAGAAGCCAAAAGATGACAAGGCACGAAGCTGCCCCCATGAGCCAACAAAGCACAAATGTATTTGTCGATTTGTGGAGGGTTATTAAAAAAACCTGACACCCCCCCGATGCTCCCTGCCACACACCCCAACGCCTCCCCCCATAATTGCTGCTGTCACCAGCTGGCCTCTGCAGCCATGGCCTACAGAAAGGGACACTGGCTGCCCTTTGCAAAGATGGCGGCTGCAGCTTCATTTATTTATTTACAATTTATTTATTTACAATATTTTTAGCCGCACCATTACCAGTGGCTTCTGGGCGACGTACAACAATATTAAAACTTAAAAACATTAAAACATTTAAAAAGACAATATAAAATATTATATATTAAAACAATTCTTAAAACATTAATATTAATAAGTCCTGCTGCTCATGTGGTGAGCTAGGGAATATTGTTTAATTAAAATGCTGGCTAAACAGAAAGGTCTTTGCCTAGCGCCGAAAAGCCAAGAGTGTTGGAGCCAGGCGGATCTCTATAGGGAGGGCATTCCAAAGTTGGGGGGGGCAACAGCCAAGAAGGCCCTATTTCGACATGCCATCCCTCTCATCTCTTTCAGGGATGGCACCTTCAGAAGGGCCTCCTGGCCTGATCTTAGAGGATGGGCAGGCTCATATGGAAGAAGGCGGTCCTTTAGGTAACCAGGTCCTAAGCCGTTTAGGGCTTTATATGTCAAAGTAAGCACTTTGAATTGCGCCCAAGCAGCAACCGGCAGCCAGTGTAAATTTTTTAGAGTAGGGAAGCTACAGCTGTCATCTTTGCAAAGGGCAGCCAGTGTCCCTTTCTGCAGGTCATGGCTGCGGAGGCCTGCTGGAGACAGCGGCAGCAGCGGCGATTATGGTGGTGGGTGGTGGGGGCTAAGGTAGGGAGAGGAAGGGGGCAAGGGATAGGCTGTGGGGGTGGGTGGTTGCCTATCAGATCACAAATCAGCTGATCTGCGGGGCCGGTAGGCAGAATGGGAAAGCGATAGGGAGACAGGGAAGGCTAGCCTTCCCTCTCTTCATATGGGGGACAAATAAAAATTGGGAAATATTTGTCCATGTTCGTGGGGAGTCTCTGAAACCCACAAATATGAAGCGACGAATATTTAACAAATCAGCGATTTCTGATGAATATCGTGATCTGTTTTTTTCTATTCATCCCCATGTCTGTTTCCCATATGTGTAGCAATAGGATGTGTGAATATTCCAGAACTGCTGTAGGGAATAGCTAGCTCGTCCAGGGCAGGGTTATAGTCAACTACAATTCTGAATGTACAGAATCATCTAGTCAGTCTTTTGGCTTCCTTTCTATTAGTCTTTTTTGTATCACACCCTCCTCCTGATTTTTCTTTGATAATCATTTCACATCTGCCACTGAATTCAGTTGAAATATTGTAATTAAGTTAAAGTTATGTGAAGACCATTACCTGAGTTTCACATTTGTTAAGATTAACACTTCTTCGTTTCTCAAAATTTTCTGCAACATGACTGTTTAGCCTTTTGCGACCTCCCTTTGACTTCTGCTGTGAATTTTGTTGTGTTTGCTGCAGAAAAGAGACATGGTTAGACGATGATTCACAGCCCTTTAATAAAACAGAAGGGCTTTAGCTGAAGCCAAGACTGAAAAATTCCAGAGTTCAACAAGTAGGATATTGTAATATGACCCATAGGAGAATACACTCTTTTGTGGTGTCTCCTACGCTAAGGTCAGTAGAAGGGAAAACAACATACAATTTTTGCCACAGAAGAAAGAGAATTTGCTTGTTGCAGGGTACGTGGTGGACTCTAGGAAAAGTATTCAGGAAGACACATTCTAATTAAACCTAGTAGTCATGAGGCCATCACTTTCAATACATCAGGCTTCTGCCACCTTTAGGAATTTTTGTGGGGTGGTTTTTTTCATGAAAAGTCTTAAAACAACTGTAGTGGTGCCTTGACTTAAGAACTTAATCCATATTGGAACGGTGGCTGTAAGTCAAAACGTTCTTAAGTCAAAGCACCATTTCCCAGAGGAGTGCATTGGAAACCGATTAATCCGTTCCGGCTGTTTTTGTCCTTATGTCAAGGCACGGTTCGTAAGTCAAAGCATTAGTTCCCATAGGAAGGGGAAGTCTTGCTTTTCTCTCCCTGCTATTAGTTCCCATAGGAACTAATGCAAAGCCGGTTAATCTGTATTCTACCACTAGGGGGAGATATTTTTTTAAATTTTTTCTTCTTTTGACCTAAAATGAACTTAGGTCAAAAAAAGGGCAGGAAAGGTTTTTTTTTTCATTCGTAAGTCAAAGCATGGTTCGTAACTCAAAGCAATATTCCACATCTGGAGCTGTTCGTAACTGAAAACATTTGTAGGTCAGGGCGTTCGTAAGTCAAGGCACCACTGTACTTCCACGCTGATACCTTGAGGTTTCTGTCAGCTATATTGGCAGGTAATCTTTAAAGAAGCCTGTTCTGAAGGCTTGAAACTATGGAAAAAAGGCAACTTCTTGTGTAATGTCACCTTCATGTTTTCTAAGGAGAATATCTTGAATGTAAGAGAGGGGAGAGATTGTCTCTGGATTCCAAACACAAGCTACAGTGATTTTCTGAACATTTCAACAATTAGTTTTTATACTGATGTATGAAGTATAGATTATGTTCAAATAAGCCTAAGTGATTGCAAGTATGACTATCTGGTAAAACAGAAGAGGCATTGCAAGGGGAGAAAAGCAAGACTTCCCCTTTCATCTTGCCCCCCTGTTCTTTCTCTCTGTCTTCCTCACTGCCTCTCCCTACCTCACCGCCATACCTTTCTCCTCCCTTTTTTCTTCCCTGTCCATTATCACCTGCTCTCACCACGGCAGCTACCTCCTTTGTTGAAGAGGGGCAGGAAGTTCTTTGTAAAGGACTTCTTCTTCCTCCCTTGCTAGAAGAGCTCTCTGTGGAAGATCCTTCTCTAAGTAAGGGAGGAAAGAGCCAAGGCAAACTGAGCTTGGAGAAGGACAGGGAATATGAATGATAAAAGACCCTCGGATATCCTTATTTTCTATATAACCAAACACAGATACTTAAGTTTGACAAATACTTAGAAAGAAAACACATCTAAGTGTATGTTAATCACTGATAAATTATCTGGGTCTTTGGTTGCTAAAACAAAAATACTTTTTATGCATCCTTCATACAAATTGACTAGGCCCATCCCACTGCGACTCAGTAACATTTAGGGGTCAGTTTATATGTAAAGGCTACCTGCTCTGTCTCTTCCTCGTCATCTGCATCCGTTTGGTCTGTAGCACCCGTAAGAACACCATCTTCTTGATCACTACTATAGGTAGCATTGCTGGAATCTGGCCCTTTCCAAGTTGATGAAAACTTCTTCCTGGGACAGAGGAGAGCTTCAGCCTGTGACAGCAAGGCTCCTTCCATACTGATCCGCTGAAGGAAGATATAATGCAAACTAAGTGTCCCATTCATGTCCCAACTCTCTCATTTCAATTGTGTATCTATTTATGTACATTCTGCCTTTACTCCAATAAGCAAAAGTCACCATCCATTGCTCTCCTCCTTCCCCACCTTATCCCTACACCCCTGTGTAAATAGGTGAGGTCAAGAGAGAACAACTGGCCCAAGGCCACCTATTAATTTCATGAACCAGTGGGAACCTAAACTCGGATCTCCCAAGTCCCAGTCCAAAAGGCCAACCATTTTAGGATGCTAGCTTTGTGCATCAGCTCTTCGTTTTAGGTATGTGAGGTGGGCACCCATAATGCCTTTTTTTTTTGAAAAATGGGGAATAGATAAATAAATCAAACGGATGCAGTGCAGCATGTCACAGCCAGTGCTTTGTTGGGGATTTCTATCTGCACCACTAGCCTTGCCGTAAGAAGTTGTGCCATTTGGCAAAGTATCTGTTGTGAAAGTACTTGCAGTTGGATGTAGAGAAACTCCTATCAAGGACATGGTCCATGCATTCTGTCTCCCAGTTAATGGGGAATAGATAAATAAATCAAACGGATGCAGTGCAGCATGTCACAGCCAGTGCTTTGTTGGGGATTTCTATCTGCACCACTAGCCTTGCCGTAAGAAGTTGTGCCATTTGGCAAAGTATCTGTTGTGAAAGTACTTGCAGTTGGATGTAGAGAAACTCCTATCAAGGACATGGTCCATGCATTCTGTCTCCCAGTATATCACCAGTCTTGGGCCTAGTTAGTTCACAATTCAGTCCCAATCAACCCCTACCACCTCAGTCAAATTTATCAGTCCATGTGTTCAGGAATTCAAGTTTGCAGCACTGAGGAAGCAATACATATGTACAGGGAAAAACTATCAAGGCACTCCTAGGGAAATGGACTGAAAGCTTAGAGACAGCAGGAAAGTAGATGAACCCCCAATACTTCCTAACCAATGGATTGCAGCCATCCCAAGTCACTTCACTACCCTGAGGCAAAGGACAAGACAGTGCACTCGTAGCGCTCCATGTACAATGAAGGTGAGACTGGTCTGGCAATACACGAGATGGCATTCTCCACTATATCCAAGACAGCAGGCTAGTTTAGGGTGCTCAGGGCAGATCACAGGGACAAGACTGCTCTGTCCTCCATTGAAAAACAACAACAACAACAACAACAACAGACTGCTCTGTCCTCCATTGAAGAAAAACAACAACAACAACAACAAGAACAACAACAACAACAACAACAACAACAAACTCTAGAGAGCTTCAGAGGAAAAGAAAGCTGCCTTTGCCACTCTCTTCAGGCACCTGCTGCCAAAGGTGGGTGTCTCACTCTGATGTTAGGATGAGCCCAGCTTTAGTTTCCTTTACCTACCCTTCATCTGTCTTGTATGCTCAAATGACAGAGATGCCATTTAAGTTGGAAAAAAAGGGGCATAGATGAATCTGACCACTAGAATGTAGTTCAATGTTTCTTGTGCAGCCCCCTTTATTCTCATGGGAGAACCCCCAGGAGATTGTTGTGTGTGTGTTCAATTTGGATTTTCTGCCTCAGACATCAACATGTTTTATGCTAACCCTGTGCCTGTTATTTCCACATGTGCTCCCTAACAGAAGAAAAGAAGTCACCAGGCAGCAGTCACAGACAAGAATTATTAGTAGGAACAGCAATTTTAGCAAATGCTAAGAATGTTAGTACTAGTCCAATATTTCATATCTGTTTTTGTCAAAGCACTGCCAGTCTATAACAGGCTAGGGAGAAGGGCACTTTTTACCTTTTGCATGTCTGGATCCATTTCTGAAATTGAAGGGAGGAGAAGAGAAAGGGTCTTAAATATAATTTCATATAGGTGTGATGCACTGCATTTACACTGAAGCAAAAAATAAGCATTTCATAAAGTTTGAAATTCAGTCATCAATTTAAAGTCCTACTTCCCCTAAAGGGAATATATTCTGTTTGACATAGAATTAAACAGCAGATTTAATTCTTAAGTTTTAGGGCTAAGACAAAAAGGAAAAGTTTCAAAAAGTTTTTTTCCTCAATGGAGAATTTCTTGGCTTTTCAGTTATTTTTTTTAATAACAGTTCTTCTCTACAGGGGGAAGGCAAGGCTGTTCCCAAAAGAGGCAGATAAAATCTCTTTAGAGCATATATTTGAATGGCTGCCTCTTCCTTTGCTTGCTTGCTCTCTATCTTTGCAGAAGAGACTAAGGGGGTCTCTCCCCCCACATATAAAAGATCCATTATTAGTATTACCCAAGGTAAAGGTTCCCCCTGACAATTTGTCCAGTCGTGTCCGACTCTAGGCGGCAGTGCTCATCTCAATTTCCACCCCATAGAGCTAGCGTTTTGTCTGCAGACAATCCTCCGTGGTCACATGGCCAGCGGGACTAGACACGGAACGCCATTTACCTTCCCACCAAGGTGGTACCTATTTAACTACTCGCATTTTTGCATTTTGCATGCTTTCAAACTGCTAGGTTGGTGGGAGCTGGGACAAGCGATGGGGGCTCACTCCATCGCATGGATTCAGTCTTACGACTACAGGTCTTCTGACCTTGCAGCACAGAGGCTTCAGCGGCTTAACCCGCAGTGCCACCACATCCCTAGTATTACCCTATTGCTGAATAAATTCTAATCAATATTGGGTTTAAATTAGCCAACTGCATCTGAATTTAACAAAATCAAAATTGCAAAGAAATTCTAGCGGAGCAGTTTTACAGTTATCAGTTACAAAGCGGAACAAATTTTAGTCTTTGAAATCTTAAAGGGCGACTGGATTGTTCTCCCAATCATGCCGAGATTTTGCCAGTTTTTATATATCATTTATGATAAATCTGACCAATTTATGTTACAAGTATAACATGGCTACCTCCATGGCTTGCATTTCTATTAATTTCTAGTAATATTGATGGAAATATTACATCTCAATGTGTCACATGCTATTTTAATACTTATTGTTAACAAAATATTGAATATTTAGGTATTATCTAACTTACCACTTGGTTTTATAATTTTGTGAGTTCTGGATGAAGGTTCTGGGGATAAAACATATATTTGTCTATTTAATACAGTCATACTCCAGTATCTTGAGCGCAGCATTATAAAAGCAGAATAAAACCAATCGCAGAAGGGTGGGTTAAAGTACAGACTCAACACACGAGATTCATTTCAGTTCATTTTTTAAAATCAGAATTTGCCAAACTCCACAAAAATGTGATGGGAAGTTAATATCTGCTTATCAGTTTTGTTGATCCTTCCTGGGACAGGTGAGAATTTTCTGTCAGTTTTGTTCTGAACAGAATCTACTAAAATTCAAATGAATGAAAATGTGATCAAGATAAATTTGTACATCCCTACAATAGAATAAGTAAATCAAGTACAACCAACAACATCCAGCAGAAAAGCCATAATTTCAAACACTGTCCCCCCACTCATACACTATCACAACAATACCACCCCACTCCAAAATCCTGTTTTCCTTTGAAGACTGAATTTGATTGGAGGCATCAAATTGTGTGTGTGTGGGGGGGGGTTGAACCAAATAGGATTTTACAGCATGATAGGCAAATTTAAAGCTCCAGACATTTTTTTACCCATAACTCTGATCAGGAATTATGGGAACTGCAGTTCAAAACATCAGAAGGGCCATTGTTGCCCACATTTTATTATTATTATTATGTGCCACCAAGTTGCCTCCAACTTACAGTGACCCTATGAATGAGTGGTCCCCAAAATATCCTGTCCTCAACAGCAGTTGCAAACTTAAGCCTGTGGCATCCTTTAGGGAGTCAATCCACTTTGTAACTGGCCTTCCTCTTTTCCTGCTGCCTTCAACTTTTCCCAGCATTGTTGTCTTTTCCAGAGAATCATGTCCACTCTTAGTTTGCACCATAAATATGTGGAAACAGATTACCTTTATCTGCATTATAGTCTTGCCATCTATTAACATACAGAAGATGCTTTCTTTAAATGCTTAAAACTTATAATTGAAAAGATAAGGACAATAAGGTAAGAAAAGCCCAAGAAGAGAATAAAGGAAGACTCATAGTTAGGGCAGTTGAGCTTAGACAGGAAGAGAGTGAATAAATCTGTGTTATGCACCTCCCAAACAGACATTCATCTGACCCTTCTGACCCTTTAGCTTTTGGAGTATCTAAAATCAAGGCAGGTTTGTCAGTGGCAGTAAAAATGTGTGGGTATGAAAGAGGCCCTCCTTCCCACCCCACAGCAATTCAAGCTGAAACTGGCACTGTATCATGTCCTCAAATTCTAGATAGGCAATCACAGATGAAATGATATGAAACATGGGAAGAGGGCAAGGGTGGCATTATCTAATCAGACTATAGGATCAGCCTTGATAGCTTGACTTTCGTCTCTTTCAGACCCAGAAGGTGGAAGAGGCAACAAGGGGATCAGCTATTTTACATCTGTTCTTAACCAACAGGGACGACCTTGTTGATGAGGTTCAAGTGGTAGGATCCTTAGGTGGGAGTGACCACACACACACTTGGAATTTGTTATACAGTGGGAAAGGGAAGCCAAGTGCAGCCAGACATGTATTCTAGACTTTAAGAAGGCCAATTTCAGTAAACTTAGGGAATTACTGGCTGCAACTCCATGGACAAAGATACCGAAAGAGAAAGGAGTTCAGGATGGATGGGAATTTCTTAAAAGGGAGATGCTAAAGGAACAATCTAAACCTGTTCCAATATGAAGGAAAAATGGGAGATGTCTAAAGAAACCAGAATGGTTGACTAAAGAACTTTCAACTGAACTAAGTGTTAAACATGTTAAAATGTGTTAAAATGGAAACAAGTGTTAAAATGGAAAAAGAGGGGGAAACTCCAAAGAGGAATGCAAGCAAATAGACAGTATATGTAGGGGAAAGGTAAGAAAAGCAAAAGTGCAAAATGAACTCAGGCTTGCCAGACGGATTAAAAACAATAAAAGGGGCCTTTTTAGTTATGCCCGCAGCAAAAGGAAAGGATTGAAAACAATAAAAGGGGCCTTTTTGGTTATGCCCGCAGCAAAAGGAAAAACAAGGAAATGATATGGTTGTTGCATGGAGAAGATGGCCAACTATGAACAGAAGACAGGGAAAAGGCTGAACTTCTCAACACCTTCTTTGCCTTAGTTTTCTCCAAAAAGGAAAATAGTGCTCAACCTGAAGGAAAAGAGCAGGTGATGTAGTGGGGGAAATGCAGCACAGAATAGATAGGGAAGTAATACAGGAATACCTGGCTACTCTAAATGAATTCAAGTCTTCAGGGCCAGATGAATTACATCCAAGGATATTAAAAGAACTGG